CTCCCAACCCTTCACCCTCTGAAAGACACAAACATTTTAATAAGCAGGTTCTTATTGAGACAAATATGCATGTATGCATGTATGTGCATATGTGTATATATATATATATGCATATGTGTGTGTACTCACACACACATGCGCGCGCACACACACACACACACACACCCTTCTTTGCAATTCTGCAAACTTAGTTCTGGATTCATAAAGCCTGTTACTTTCTCTTTATGTTGCTCTTATTCAGTTCACCCTGCTCCCTGAAATTACAGATGTTAGAGATGGAAAGTGATGAATACAGTTCACCATAGTCTTTTATTTTACAGATGGGGAAACTGAGGCCAGGAGCAACCAGTCATATTGCTTCCATGCTGGGAACTCTCCAATGACATCTCACACAATACAGAGTCAACTTCGAGTGCCCCACCATAGACCACAAGGCCTTGCAAGTTCTAACCTTGCCCAATCTCCTTTATGCTCCCTCAGTCCAAGTGCCTCTGTGATGATTAATGGAGTCCTTCTTGGCTTCCTCCAAAGGGGCAGAACTGCTCTGGAAGGTTCCTCATGGCATTGGCAATGATCTTATTCTGTGCTTCTTAAAGAGGTTAAATTGATTTGCTTTTGTTATATGATTAATGGTTAAGAATAAAATTCTGAACATTTTCAAGGAAACTTTTAATTCTAAAGCAGGTTTTGTGTGCCTAAGCTTTGGTATGTTTTCCCACTCAACACTCAGAAATAAGCAGGGAACTTTCTAAAATAAATAACTGTGTTATTCTTTGTCCCCCCAGGACTTATATTTTATCTATAAATTCATTTGTATTTTAGTTTAGTTTATTTAGGTAGAATTAAAGTAGTTTTAACTTAGTTTTCCCAATGAAATTAGATTTTAGATACATGAGAAAAAGATTAGTAAATCAAAGACCATTGAATTTCCATTGATAGAGGTGGTCATTATTGTCATCTACCCTCTTAGCCAACTTTGTCTTTATTTAATGGGTGTTGAATGAAATCTCTCAAATGTACAGGAAAGTCTTTTGATACTCATATCTTGTCTAATGAAACAATGCATTTGATCTTGGGTTCCCACAATGGCCTGGCTTGCATCTTAAATCCGGATTTACTGTACTCAGTGAAGAAGAACACATTCATTCACCCTCGGGTGCTTTTCTCTGCCCATTGTTTCTTCAGTTTATATTTTCCTGCCCACCCAGCAGAAAAGGCTACAGCAACTACCCATCCTCTAAAGCACTGAATGCATTTTCTCTGCCAGTCCCTGGATCGTGATAGATGGTCACACTCTAGCCCTGCTCACCTGTGTATCCAGATCCTGCAGCTTCTCATTGCAGGATATCTCGTTCTGTCACGCACACAGCTCAGCCCCCTTCTCCTGGGCTTCCCCAGCCCCATCACTGAGAGCCTGGCAAAAACAAACAAACAAACAAAAAAAACAACAAACAGAAAACACCAAAACCAAACAAAATCAAAAGTAATAAAACATACAGGCACAATAATATTTGTGATATTTGTGAGAGCATCATTAACGTAGAAAACTAGGGAAAAAAACTATGCAAATGCAGTTGGGACTACCAGTATTTTCTCAAGGAGTCTACAGAGCCCAGGGTCCCAGGAACAATCCCTTACTCAAAAGAGAGGAAGAAAGCTGCAAGACTGATGGGCCATAAGAGTTTTGTTTGAAACCCTGTTTTTCATTTTTGGGGGTACATACCTAGGAGTGGAATTGCTGGGCCATGTGGTCACTCTATGTTTAGCTTATTGAGGAACCAACAGGATTCAATGTGATCAGCAGAGGATTCACTGACAACAAACAAACAGAAAAAAAAAACACAAAGGAAGACAGACAGACAATAAACAACCCGTGGACAGTGGGGCTCTGATGCACTGTCTCCCCCAGACACGCAGGGATCAGGCAGAAATGAAGTTCTCTGCTCAAAATGCCCTTTCTGTCTTCAACGCCATGCAGTCTCAATAGCAGCGGCAGCATCCTTACAGGGGCAAAATTTGCTGGTGGGGTTGGTAGGGAGCACAAAATAATACAAGCCTGGATGCAGTATATAAACAGATATGCAATATGTCTGCAGCATAAACATTTCATGGAGGGAGGGAAATGATTAGGAAATAGTCTTAAAAGTCTCCTCAGCGTAAGAGAGGTCAATAATGAAAAACAAAATTGAAACACTGCCTTGCACAACAGTCACACACAAACACACATATACGCATGCAATCGTAAGACAGAATAACAGCAAAAACATCTAGTTATAATAAAGCAACTCGATAGACAGATCATACATGAAAAGCCTGAAAAAGCAAGTCAGCAGTAATAAAAGAAAATGTGAAAATTAAACATTTGAGAAATAAATCAACAGCATTAGTAACAAAAAGAATCAAAATAAAATTACAAATTACTTTTTTCACTGATTAAACTGAAAAATATTTTTAAAGGTTGTGTTTTCATTGTTGGCAGAAAATGTTGAAGTATGCGCCTAGCAGGATTACTAGGAGGTCAAAAAATTACTGTAGGCTTTATGGAGGGTGATTTGACTATTGCCTTAGAAGTGAACATACCAGTTACCTCAATACTTTCTCTCCTATGTATTTATCTCAAGCAAATAAACTAAAAAATTGGAGGCTTCTCTGAGATAGAAATTTCTATCTCAGAAAAAGTTCAAGCAGAAATAGGTGGCTGACTAGTGAGAATTTCGGTGACACTTTCTCATAAAGATAATGGTAGGATGAAATGCGGCATCCCACCCGAAATGTTATGAATTAACTGTATGGTGTAGAAACAGAACTATATTAGAACTATGAAGATGTTCTAAGTCCTAATTATAGTAGCAATGATAATAAAATAAATGGCTCATATTTATTGAGCTCTCAGTGTGTGCTAAGCACTGTTTTAAGCATATTTACATGTTAACTCATTAATACTACAAAATGCCCCCGTAATGTGCATCTTACAATTCTCATTCACCATGAGCAATATAAGACACAGAGTTTCCAAGCACCCTGCTGCAAGGCAAACAGTGCATAAGTCACAGAACCAAGGTCTTAACCAGGCCACTGTGTCCACAGTCTTACCTCCTACTTTACATTGCCTTTCATGAACTGGCTTCCCTTGAAGTCAGTACCTGAATGTTGTTTTTCTTTAACTCTGCTCTAGTAACTCACCAGATCTGTATGCCCTTCCCAAGTTACAAAACACTTTCAGCCACAGTTACACTATTTCATTTTCTCAACAAGCCTTTTGAAGGGTGAGATAGCAATATTACCCATTTGTGTGGAAACTAAAGCGCAGAGGGGTTGTTTTGTCTTAGAGAGTTCACAATGAAGCATGGGAGACACTCCTGCTATAACCTTCAATGGCTCACTATTGAATACAGGCTGCTAAGCTCAACTTGGACCTACCTGAGCTGCCCTTTGATGACAGATGCATTATATTGCATCTGCAGTATTTCTCAGTCAGAAAGACGATGTGATTCTACGTGTCCAGCTTGTCTTGTGCACACCCTTTTCTACTGTTTGAGTTCTAGAATGCAAAATGTTTGCTTCATTATTGTTTCAAGGATCTATCGCAACATAATAAACAACTCCAAATTAGGAGCTTAAAGCAATCATTTGTTTGCTCACCACTTTTGCAGCAGGAGTGCAGACAAGCTAGGACGAGAGGGGCTTTCTCTGCTCCACCACGGTGTTCGGATCCTTGGCTGGGATGTCACAAATTGTGGTGGCTCGACTGGGATCACACACCTCAGGCCTCCATGGTCACTGGCAGCCGGGTTACTTGGGTCATCCCTATCCACATGACTTGTGTGAGCTTCCTCATGGCATGGCAGCCACAGAATGGCTCGAATTTCTACATGGTGCCTGGCTTTCCCCAGAGAGAAAGCAAAAGCTGTTGGACCTCTTATAGACTGTGACTGGAATCATCACAGTGACCCGTTACCACCGTCTCTTGTTCAAGGTAAGTTACAGCACTAGCCCAGATACAAGGGGAAGAGAAATTGACTCCCTTTCTTGATGGTTTGAGTGTAATGTGCGTAGAAAGAGGAACAATATTTATGATAACCGTCTCTGGAAACTATCATAACAACTAGATCTCTTATTTAAAAATTAATATAAGTATTTGATTAAAAAATTCAAATCGTGTAGATATATCTACTGCATCCAATGCTAAGAGATCTTTGGGATTTATGCACTGTGCATTTGCATTGCTTATAGAGAGAGAAGATGTGGGGTTTTTTTGCCCAAATAGAAACATACTATACATGCTCTTCCACACTTTTATATGGGGGCAGGATGTAGGTCTGATTAATTTTTGCATTTCTGCCTTGGTGCCCAGTCTATTTGTGGAAATGTGTTTTTTATTAATGTTTTCCAAAGGTATTAAAACAGGGGACACAAACTCCAGTACCCATAGCAGCCTCACAAGTGACATAAATGAGTGTCAGAAACCAGGCTAAGGCAATTGGGAGTGGTGGGGACTGTGGTGTCCTGAAGATCTAATGCTGCCTCTAATGCAAGCAGCTGCTACTCTGCTCCTGGCCTTTGCTGCTATGCAGAAACACAGGCCCAGCATTGCCCATCTTCTAAACTTTTAAGAGTAGCCTGAAATCTAAGACCCTGCTATAAAACCCCCTGAACTTTGACTGTTGAAAACCAATTTTAAAAGCAATGATGTGTAGGCCAAGAAAACATACCTATAGGCTGTATTCAGCCTTGAGCCCACCAGTTTACACCTTCTGCAAGGTTCTCATTGAGGAACCCCAATGGGTACCATGACTCTCTCCTTCTAACCTCTCTTTCCTAGATTTCATCTTCCCACATATGGGCAATGTTAGAGGCACTTTTGCCTCATTTTATAAAATTTGCCCATTTTCTACCAGGCCTTAAAGAGAAGAAGAGATGGAGTTAAGTGAGAAAAATATGGCTATGTGAGGAGTAAGTGAATATTCCAAAAGTAAGTATCCTCTGGGCTTGAAGAAAGAATGAAGCGGACAATTATTCAAGTGACTCCTCCATCTAAACTGGCCTTGGGTAAGAAAATCTGCCCATAGGCTGCTCTGTATTTTTCTTCTCTGGGTGGCCTAGCAGCTTACCTGGCCCAGGTGATGACTTGCAGAGACCACACTTTAGCTGGGCAAAGCACAGCTTTTCCGGGTTGCTATGCACAATTTCAGACTAACCTTCAAAGTCTTCCCAGGATGATTTATCTTGAAACAATTTCAGACGCCATTTATTATTTCTAGGAGCTTCAGAACATCTTCAGATCCATTGATGGGAACACTGACGCCTGAACACGGTCATTTGAGGTGTGTTTAAACAGAAAATTTCAATGTTATCTCAGTTAGGACACACTTTTTCAGAAAGCACGATCTGTTGCCAAGAATAACAGGATTTCATACTGCAGAGTGAATTCAGAGGATCCACATCTAGCAGCCTTCGGATGTCTGATTATTGGGCCATCCTGTCTGGCTGCATAAGATGCATCCATGATATTTATTTGGTGCCCAGAATATTCCAGGATTGTCCTAGTTGCCTATACGTATTTGTTCTAATTTTACTGGTGTGTAAAGGAGCCGTTGCCATCTTTCTACTTGCAGATGAGATTGAAAGTTGTTTCAGCTCAGATCCGAACTAAACACTTTTTATGAACCAAAAGTTCCCACCCATGGGGCTTAAGAGTTGCATTGACTTAATTACTTTTAGCCTAATGAAAACCGTGTCATTTTCTACTGGATTGATCGATTCTGTATTCTTTAAAAATTGTTTTTGGTACGACACAACTATCTGAACTATGTCTAGCTCTGTTTATACTCTGACTTGGAGGAATTCTGGGAGCCACATCACAGCTAAAGGTGTGAATCTTCACTAATCAAAATGGGCGGAATTTTCTGTAAAGACGTAAACTGGCTTGAATGTGTCCAGTTATTGCTCCTGAATCCTAACTGCAGTGAGTGGAGGGCAGGACAGTGTACTACGTGAGAGGGTGGGCCTTGAAAACTAGATATCCCTGGGTGCTAGCCCTATGTCGAAACTCTTTCTTGTGCAGATTTGGACAAATATTTATTTCTGCACTTTAGTTTCCTGATCTGTAAAATGAATATGATAATAATTATGTTTGCTTATAGTATAAACCTCTTCAATGACTAGAAGCAGTGAGAGACTTAGTATAAGTACTCAACACATGCTAAATGTCTCAGAAGTCATCTTAGAACATTAGTGTAATGTAATTTTTATAGTTTGATTTTTAAATTTACAAATAGTAATTGTATATATTTATGGCATACAATGTGATGTTTTGATACCTGTATACATGGCAGAATGATCCAATTAGGCAACTTAGCATATCATCACCTCAAATATGTATCATTTCTTTGTTATATGAACATTATGTGTTTTTGAACTAAGTGAAACGGAGACTTTGGAAAGCCATAGAAAGTAGCCACCCTCTTTTTATCCTCATAGCAAAGAAAAGCCAGCCACTTGCTAACCAGCCCACTTATTTCACCTTATAGTAAATTGAATCTGGAACCCTGAATTATTCTATGACATTTTCCAAAAATCTAGTGAAAGGCTGGGCACCGTGGGTCACAACTGTAATCCCAGCACTTTGGGAGGCCAAGGCACCTGAGGTCAGGAGTTTGAGACCAGCCTGGCCAACATGGTGAAACCCTGTCTCTACTAAAAATACAAAAATGAACTGGGCGTGGTGGTGAATGCCTGTAATCCCAGCTACTTGGGAGGCTGAGGCAGGAGAATAGTATGGACCCGGGAGGGAGAAGTCACAGTGAGCTGAGATCCCGCTGTTGCACTCCAGCCTGGGTGACTACAGTGAAACACCATCTCAAAATAATAATAATGATAAAAATTAAAATCTAGTGAGAAAGGAAACTCAAGGAAGTCCTGGCTTCACAATTTTGCTTTGTTATTCCTGAGCACTGCCTCACCCGCTCTAGTGTGGGAGCTGAGTTGTCAAGGGGAAAGTCAATGAAATTGCTCTAAGTTGTCATCTCTCCAGGCATTGTTCTGTAAGAACTGTCACCGCTAACAGAAGAGGCCACCCTCCTGCAGTGGGAATACCAGGGCACTGTCAAGATACCCAACTTTGACTTCAAATGCCACCCAGAGAGACAACTGCTCACTTTCAGAGCAGGAGCAGGAGGCCAGCGGAGAGCGTGAGTGTAACATCTGCACAGCGAGAAGTCCAGGAGAAGCAAAACTGAGATCCAGGCTGGAGCGGCTGTGCTGGAGTAACTGTTCCGGCGCGTGTTGGGGAGGGTCCTCCAAAAAGACTTTTACCTCAACTGAATGGGAAATAACAGAAAATAGAAGCAAGAGACTGTCACTTTATAACAGGTTCTGTTATGACCTCCTACAACAATATGTTAGAAATTAGATACAGATAGACATATAGTTAGATAACTAGATAAAGAGACAGATTTGAGGTAGCTACACTTATGGATATAGATATCGATATCACAGATAAACATGTTCTTTATTTTTATATTGTCAATGTTTGTGTTGCTGGAAAAAGGGGTCCCTGTGATCCAGACCTCAAGAGAGGGTTCCTTGGCCTCGCACAGAAAGGGATTCATGGCGAGTCATGATCGGCAAGGAATGTGTGTTGCAAGTTTACAGACGGAGTTAATTTCAAAATGGTGACACCTGGCTCTCCTAGGCTCCCGCTTTTCTAACATTTCTATGTATAAACCTAATCTTCCTTGCTAGATCACAACCTCCAATGATCTGTTTTTCATCTGCAGTTGTCCCAAGCGCCAGCTTATTCTGCGAGTGTCTCATGGTCATGGAAAACTGATAAAGCAGAGCATGAGAGACTCAATGGATAAGAAATTATAAAGAATCACTAAGTTTGCATGGGTGCTTTGATTGTGACCTACCGAGGAAGGGAGTGGAGAGGGTGTGTGGGAGGGAGGACAGCAGACGTACAGACACAGCTTCATTTGCCTCCCACTGGGAATTGTGCCTGAGACTTATGGAGAGACTGGCCGTTGGCAGAAGCTGAAAGAGTTGATTTAACAAATGGTCCTATGAGGCCTGATGCACTTGCTGAATTGTTTTGGGGTCACTGTTGCATTAGGATAGGGACTTTTTTCCTTTTTTTTTTTTTTGGTCAAATGTCGTGTTTCATGTTTCAACCAAGACTTTGGGAAACCAGGACTACTTGAAACCCTGAAGGACTGCAGTGTTCAGAGAGGGAGGGAATAAAACCCTCTGGAAACCTCTGGAATTAGTGGCTGGGAACTAGCCCTCAGGTTGTTCTATGGACAGCCGATGTCCTGGACAGAGCCAGAGCCTAAGAACACAGGAGGTTTTCTCGTTGTCGTTTTTGTTTCTGTTCTGAGACAGGGTCTCGCTCTGACACCCAGGCTGGAGTGCAATGGCATGATCTCGGCTCATTGCAATCTCTACCTCCTAGGTTTCAGTGATTCTCACGCCTCAACCTCCTGAGTAGCTGAGATTACAGGTGCCCACCACCACGCCCGGCTAATTTTTATTTTTTATAAAAATGGGGTTTCACCATGTTGGCTAGGCTGGTCTCAAACCCCTGACCTCAAGTGATCCACCTGCCTTGGCCTCCCAAAGTGCTGGGATTACAGAGCCACTGTGCCCGGCCAGCATGGGCAGTTTTTAAATGTCTGTGTTTCCACAATGAACCGGTGAGTCTTTGAAGGCCTTGTATGACCAGAACTGGACACAAGTCAACCAGAATAATTTGCAGACACGCAAGCTGTTTGTATGCAGTGGATCAATAGCAACCTGTTACAGTTTTCCATCTTTCTTTCAGGAAATGTCCTATCTCCAATACTACTGTGAAATTCTAGAGCATAAGAAGAGAATAAAGTATTGACGTAAGGTTTGGTTGGCAGGCAGAGCTCCACCCTACCACCTCCTTGGTGACAGAGACCCATTCGTGAGAAGGGTACTATCTCTTCCCTGGTGTTAGTGTTACCTAGTGTAATGCCTACATGACAAAACTGAATTTCTACCCAATCCTAACTCTGTTACTCTTTAAGGATGCCTGCAATAAAATGTTCCCTTGGTAACCAGACCAGCTGAAACTGGTTAGAGCCAAGAAAGCCAGCCAAATGACTTCAAGAAGACCTCAGGCTTCATTACCATCTCATTTCCATTCTAACAATACCTAGAGCAACGGGAAATATTGGGCACTTCATCAGGCGACTTCAGGTGTATTTCTAGAGATTGTCCAGGTGAGTCAAAGAGCAAATGCCATGAAGTAGCCTCAGCCCTTTGGGTCATGGGCAACCATTTTTGAAATAAGATTACATAGTTGTCAGAGTTTGACCTGGGCAAAGGATCAGCCTTTTCTCCAACTTCACAATCAGATTAAGAGGAAACAAAGCATTAGGACAAATTCTGCCATACACGTATTTGATAATTAATACATATTATCAATCAGGAACATAGTGGTCCATACATTCTGTAAACTGTACGATACCTAGATCCTGTATCCTTGTAAGTGATCCAACCACACATTCTGTGATGGTCTCTCAGGTTGCAATAACAAAATGACACAGCCTGGATGGATTAAACAACAGAAAGGTATTTCTCACAGTTGTGGAGGCTGGAGGTCAAAGACGAAGGTGTGGTGCCGGCTGGCTTAGTTTCTTCTGATGTCCCTCTCCTTGGCGTGCAGATGCCGCCTTTGCACTGTGTCCCCACTTGGTCTTTTTTCAGTGTGCACATCTCTCATGTCTCTTCCTCTTCTCCTAGGAACACAAATCAAACTGGATTAGGCTCAATTTTTACAACCTCAGTTAATCTTCATTAGTCCTTTAAAGGCCCTATATCCAAGTACAGTCACATTGGAGGTTCAGACTTCAAAACACGAGGGTTGGCCTGGTGGCTCACGTCTCTAATCCCAGCATTTTGGGAGGCCAAGGCAGGTAGATCACCTGAGGTCAGGAGTTCGAGACCAGCCTGGCCAACATAGTGAAACCCCGTTTCTACTAAAAATACAAAAATTAGCTGGGTGTGGCGACACATGCCTGCAATCCTAGCTACTTGGGAGGCTAAGGCCGGAGATTCGCTTGAACCTGGGAGGTGGAGGTTCCAATGAGGGGAGACCGCCTTGCTGCACTCCAGCCTGGGCAACAGAGCAAAACTCCATCTCAAACAACAACAACAACAACAACAACAACAAAACAAAGACTTCAACACATGAGTCCTGGGGAACACAATTCAGTCCCTAACACATGCCCTAAAAGAGCCCCATGAGACAGCTATGACAACGTTCTAAAAGAAGAAATCCGTCACAGTTGGCATCTGGCAACCAGAATTTGCCATCTCAGTGATTGGATGGAGTGTGGTTTAGGCATTTGACTTCATGTGTACTCCCTACAAGTACAGAGTATGTGGCTTACGAGATGGTGAGACCTTGTTTTGCAGGTGTGGGGAGTGACTGATTCAGTTTATTCCGTCTGCCTTTCTCGTCAATGAAAGCCCATTTTCTACATCCATGTTGCTAGAGAACACACCACTAAACTTTCCAAGGAAAAAGCACTTCTAGACAAATTACACTAGCTAGTGAGACCTCCAGTGTTGAGCAGACATAGAAAATGACAGCTGACAGGCTTTAGTGAGAACTTCTGGAGTGTGCACTTTCTGATTAGGCATTTGCTAATCAATGCAGGAATGTGAGTGTTTGATTACTGAAACTGCTACCCCTAGGAGGTGGATTAAAACTAATTACCTTCATAAAAGCAGAGAGTATAAGGATGGTTGCCAGGGGCTGCAGGGAGAGGAAAATAGGGAGATATTAGTCAAAGGGTGCAAAATCTCACTTATGCAGGATAAGTAAGTTCTAGAGATCTATGTACTGCATTGTGACCATAGGTAATAATGCTGTATTATAGACTAGAAATTTGCTAAGGATTGAAATATTAAATGCTCTCACTAAACACATACACACACACACACACAATGGTAATTATGTGAGATGGGATATGTTAAACAGCTCGATTGTCGTAATTACTCCACAATGTATATGTATATCCAAACATCATATTGTACACCTTAATTGTCTACAATTTTATTTATCAGTTGTAACTGAATAAAGATGGAAATTTAAATAAAATATATACTCTTTTATATCACATCGACAGAACTAAAGAAGAAAGGAGATTTCCAACATCATGACGTGAATTGTTTTCTGATGATGTCTAAATCTCCTCGCAATTCTAACATCAGTTCCACTTTCCTTGAGAAAAGTAAACCAGAATCTTTGTTTGGCTGTAATGTTTCTGACAGTCTGAAAAAGAAGGGACTATCTTATTAATAGCATCCAGAATTTTAGTTTTGCATATTAAGAAAGGCACTGAACACCCTAATCTCTCTTTTTATGTGGATTATGGACCCAGGGAATTTGATACCTATTCTGAGAATTTATGTAAAATCGAGTAATTTCAGTTAGGTCTTTAAATTGAACGATAGTGTCAACACTAGCTCTTTCCCCCTAGTAAAATAAACAAAGGAATATTTAAAGAAGGAGGATGCTTTTGTGGTAGGAGTTTTTAAGAAATTACTTTAGGCAGGCCGGGTGCGGTGGCTCACGCCTGTAATCCCAGCACTTTGGGAGGCCGAGACGGGCGGATCACGAGGTCAGGAGACCGAGACCATCCTGGCTAACACGGTGAAACCCCGTCTCTACTAAAAAAATACAAAAAACTAGCCGGGCGAGGTGGCGGGCGCCTGTAGTCCCAGGTACTCGGGAGGCTGAGGCAGGAGAATGGCGGGAACCCGGGAGGCGGAGCTTGCAGTGAGCTGAGATCCGGCCACTGCGCTCCAGCCTGGGCCACACAGCCAGACTCCGTCTCAAAAAAAAAAAAAAAAAAAAAAAAAAAAGAAATTACTTTAGGCAAATAGAGAGAAAAAGGGGTCCTTGGGAAATTTTCATTTTTAAAGAGAGAAAAAGGGGTCCTTGGGAAATTTTCATTTTTAAAGACGTTTCTTGTCTAGCTGGAAAGCCGCAGCTCTTACAGCCAAACAGGCAACCTTTGATATGCAAATGCCATCCATTAGAAACTAGGTCCACCCAAACATGAGGAATCCCTCTGCCTTCTAGCCCTTGCCCCACGTGTTCCTGGCAACGTACCCACCCCACCCATCCCCAAGTATGTGGAACATCATGGCAGCCTGCATTTGCATATTAAAAGACTAGGGTGGGAGCATCAGTGTTTTCCAGGGCCACGTAAATGACATGCGTGGTCAAATCAATCCCCTAAGCAAATCAGATACCACCTCCTCCAGCCTGTACATATACCTGGCAGGTATCCATCCCACTTGGGGTTTCCTCTCTTGGCTTTGGAGACCCCCCTGTCTGTCTCTGTACAGGGGAGCCTCTTCCTTTTGTCTTCTCCCTTCCTTCTTGCCTATTAACCTCTCTGCTCCTTAAAACTACCCCACGTGAGTCTGTGTCATTTTTTTCTAATTTGACTCGAGATGAAGAACCTGGTGTTCCTCCACGAATCGGAGCTGCATCATTTTCACGGGCTGGCAACAAGAATAGAGAGCCATCCACAGCCATAAGACGCAGAACCTCTTCTGGCAAAACGGTCCTGCCTCACCCAGAGGTAATTAGTGGCTATCAGGGCAGACAATTGTTATTGATGTTGTTCATGTCCCAACTCATTTGTTGGGCTCACAGTACCAAATTTTCTTTATATTTAGTTATTTTTATTACCTGGGAATTTTAATGAGGTTTTTCCTTCTGACCAATTAGAGCATCAAAAACCCACTGTCTTCCCTGCTGCTGTCATTAGGAACCAGGAGGCACATGACTGGGGCTTCTCCAGCCCTCTTCACTCCATCCCTCTGAACAAGGTGGCCACAGTTAAGTGTTGGGATTTTGAATAGGTTGAGCTGATTATTATGAATTTTCAAGAGGTGGAGCTGATTATTAGTGTGAGTTCTGGGACTCCTAAGAAATTATCAGATAAAGATAGTACATTTTTTCCTCAGGTATCAGTAACATATGGATCATAGAAGCCTGAGATGGTGAGTGGAATCTGAAAATGAAATCTAACATTTACCAAAGACACAGAGAAGGAGAGAGACTGGATTAATTATTCCGGCCCCTGAGTCTAGTCAGTCAGTTCTACTCTTGGGCTTCGTAGTTCTATTCATCAGTGAATTCTTCTGTTTTGTTGAAAGCAGATTGAGCAGGGCTTCCAGAAACCTGCACCCTAAGGAGCATCAGCTGGTACAGAGAACCTGGCCCAACCCACCGCTGTGTTTGACTGTGAATGAGAGGAGGCACACGGAGAGGGCAGCCCACCAGGCAGGTGTGTCTCACATCATTGAGGAGCCCTTTTCATTCAAAGATGATCAGCTTATAAAACACCAGTGATGGGAGGTCCCAGGCAGGTCCCCCAGGACCTACAGCAGGGGCCAGCCAAGAATGGCCAGCCGTCTCTCTACTGGGTCAGAAAGAAATAACGAAAGGGACTGAACTTGGCCGTGTGAGCTGTCAGCATGGACGCCAGACCAGACCAAAATCCAGATTCCGACGACTGCCCCCTATAGCAGTGGAAACCCCAAACACAGAGAAGACAAAGCAACAGAGCAACTTCCTTACCCAGACCACCGGCAGCCCCATCCTTCTCCATCCCTCAGGTTGCTTGGTTACTGGACATTGGCTTTGACTATGCTCCATTCAAGAAAGTTAGAATGAAAATTTGGGTAAATGGTGAAGGAATTCAAGGAAAAGAAAATGCACCCACCATGTTTACGTTACAATACCAAGCTGGACCAGACATTTTCTCATTCAAGGATGAACGTGTTACTGGGGGGTCCTTGCTCCCAGAGCACCCAACATGGTGGCGGCCACTTCCAAGATGGCGGCAAGCCTTGTGTTCTCTGACCTGGGGTTCTTGGCCTCACAGATTCCAAGGAATGGAATCTTGGGCCGTGCAGTGAGTGTTACAGCTCTATGAGAAGCCGCGGGTCATGGAAGAGAACCATGAAACCCACTAACTAGTGTTTAGCTCGATTAGGACGAACCCGGGCACTTGGCCGTGCGGGAACAATGGCGAGCCTTTACCCCGACTGGGAGCGGCAATGGGCACCTCGCTGGATCAGGAACACAGCGGACACCCTGCTGGATCCAGAGGGATGGAAGTCAGGCACCGGTATGCAATGGCGGCCAGCAGCAGTGGTGGACAGCGAGCAAAAGCCCCGTTCCAGCCGTAACAAACACAGACCAGAAAAGTGCAGTTGCAAGATTTAATAGAGTGAAAACAGAGCTCCCATACAAAGGGAGGGGACCCCAAGGGAGTTGCCGTTGCCAGTTCGAATGCCTGGGTTTATATCCCGAACATTGTCCCTCCCGCTGTGCTCTCAGGCAGTAGATAATTGGCTATTTCTTTACTTCCTGTTTTTGCCTAATTCGCATTTTAGTGAAGTCTCTTTACTATCCGATTGGTCGGGTGTGAGCTAAGTTGCAAGCCCCGTGTTTAAAGGTGGAAGGGTCACCTTCCCAGCTAGGCTTAGGGATTCTTAGTCGGCCTAGGAAATCCAGCTAGTCCTGTCTCTCAGATGGATGTGGGCCGTCAGAAAGTTTCACCAACATGTTAGGAAGGAAAATATACAGCCTTAAGATGCGATGGGAGATGTTTTAACAAGGATTTTTACTAAAGGAAACTTCTGTTTTCCTTTTGTATAAAATTTCTGTGAACCCAGAAAATCTGAGACAGGTCTCAGTTAATTTACACAGTTTATTTTGCCAAGGTTGAAGACACGCTGGTGACAGCCTCAGGAGGTCCTGATGACATGTGCCCAAGATGGTCCGGGCACAGCTTGGTTTTACACATTTTAGGGAGACATGAGCTGTCACTCAATATATGTAAGAAGTACATTAGATCCATCCAGAAAGACAGAGACAACTCAAAGCAAGCTTCCCCCTCCCCCACTGAGAGCTTTCAGGTCACAGGTAGGTGAGAGACAAATGATTGCATTCTTTTGGGTTTCTGAGAAGTTTTTCCAAAGGAGGCAATCAGATATGCATCTATTTCTGTGAGCAGAGGGGTGACTTTGAATAGAATGGGAGGCAGGTTTGCCTTAAGCAGTTCCCAGCTTGAAAAGGCCCAAGATATTTTCCTTTCGCATTGCTTAGATAGCCTAGACTTTATACCCACAAATAGGCCGGCCCTGTGGGGAGAGGTAAGAGAGTTTTCATTCTTTTCACTGAGGCACCTGAGCAGCTTAGCTGTAAATATCATCTTTGGCCCACATCTATTTTGGAACTGTAGAAGAACCTGGGAAAAAAATTTAAGAAGCTGAAAACAGGAAGTTGAGTGACAGTACTCCATTTCTCCAGCCTCCTGTGTGTATTACTAAAGCAAAAGGTTGAGGTAGATGAAAGCATTCACTCTGGCCCAGAAACTCTCGTTCTTGTGACAGTGAATAAGTCTCATGAGATCTATAGAGAGAGTTTTATAAAGGGGGGTTCCCCTGCACATGCTTTCTCTTGCCTGCTGCCATGTAAGACATGCCTTTTGCCTTCTGCCATGATTGTGAGGCCTTTCCAGCCACGTGGAACTGTGAGTCCATTATCCTCTTTTTCTTTATAAATTACCGAGTCTTGGGTATGTCTTTATTAGCAGCATGAGAAGAGACTAATACATCCTCTCCATCTCCTCTGCTGGCTGATTTTTCACCAATATCCTGTCTTGAAGGCTTCACAAAGCATAAAATCGATTCTTCCAAAGGCATGGGTTATATATACCACATAGTTAAGAGAAAAGAGAAGGTAGGGAGGAGAGTGTTTTCTCAAAAATTAGCACATCTCAGAAAACACGTGTAAGAAATGAATACAGAGATACCCAGAACATCTGCAGTGAAGCTTGTTTAGAAACTTAATCAGGAAAGTTCTCCATGGAAAGAATTTCTGGAGTCAGGCAGGCATTTTTTTTTCCTCCCTATAATTGTGCCTCTTATTCCAGAGACAAATGGAATTTTTCTTTGGGGTTCTAAGGCCGAGGTGAACTCCATGCCTTAGGATCAGGCATTGCCATTAACGTCAGCAGCAAAGACGGATTTCTTATTAATGCTTCCATAAATATTTAAAATTCAGAACTCAGACAACTAAGACAACCCTTAAAAAATCTCCATGCTGTCAAGCTAGCACTTAGACATTTTTCCTCTTTGGTTACCATCGTGAAAAAAAAAAAAATCTCAAAATAGCTACACCGGCGGAGTGCGATGGCTCACGCCTGTAATCCCAGCACTCAAAATATCAATAATTAACATTAAAAATGGATTCCAGAAGTCAACTTCTGATTATTAAGGTGGCTTATTTAGCTGGCTTATTTCATCCTGGTGTACCCTTTCTCCCATTTTTTTTTCTTCTTTTTTCTTTTCCTGCTCTCTTCAAGGGCGGCCACAATGCTCAGTCATAATCGGGAACTGTTTTTTGTGTGTATACGTTAATCCTTTTCTGTGCAACCGCACTTAAGTCCTTGGCAGCTAATTAGCAATTCAGATGCAGGCCACCTCTAACGAGCTCAGCATGGAACAGGTGCTCCATGAATATGAACTGTTATTACATACATATGCATGCTTTAAGAAATAGCCAGCTCTTGACCTGCATGGTGCCTCACACCTGTAATCCCAACACTTTGGGAGGCCTCAGGCTGTGGGTGGATCGCCTGAGGTTGGGAGTTTGAGACCAGCCTAGCCAACATGTTGAAATCCAGTCTCTACTAAAAATACAAAAAAAAAAAAAAAGAAAAAGAAAAAATAGAGCCAGGTTGTGGTGTGCATGCTGTAGTCCCAGCTACTTAGGAGGCTAGAGCAGGAGAATCACTTAACCCGGGAGGTGGAGGTTGCAGTGAGCTGAGATCACAGACTGGTAACAGAAAAATAAATGAATAAAAAAATAAATGAATAAATAAATAAAAAGAAAATAGCCAGTTTTAGTAGAAGTGGAACTTGTTCTTTCCTGAAATCTTTGTTGGTTATCTCTTGATGAAGAAATGTTGAAAATTCCAAACACTGGTTCAAGAATCCATTAGTAAAACAAATAGAACTGCACATTCGCCCCAGCTTAAATGGACGCATTTTGAGAGCTGAGAATAATGCTCATGATTTCACAGGGCAAATTGTGAGCTCCATATTCTAAAAACGGTCGAGTATGTTATTTATTTGTTTCTGACGTTGGCTTGAAAGTAATAATGCCTCATTTTCAGTATTTCTCTATATTCCGTTTGCCACATGCACTGCCTTTCTCAAGAGACTGTGTAGTGTAGTGCAGTGACTTTCCAGATCTGCCATTTAGTGTCTGAGGGATCCTGGATAAAGCATACAGATCTTCTAAGCCTGGTTTTAAGAACTAGAGCAGCACCGGCCGGGCTCGGTGGCTCACGCCTGTAATCCCAGCACTTTGAGAGGCTGAGATGGGCGGATCACAAGGTTGATAGATTGAGACCATCCTGCCTAACATGATGAAACCTTGTCTCTACTAAAAATACAAAAATTAGCCGGGCGTGGTGGCTTGTGCCTGTAGTCCCAGCTACTCCGGAGGCTGAGGCAGGAGAATTGCTTGAACCAGGGAGGTGGAGGTTGCCATGAGCTGAGATTGCACCATTGCACTCCAGCCTGGGTGACAGAGTGAGACTCCGTCTCAAAAATAAATAAATAAAATAAAGAACTAGAACAGCACCTATTCACAGGGTGAAACACACAAAGCACGGTGCCTATCCAGAGCCCACAGTTATGAGGCCCTGTTACTATTCTTCATGATAGTCGTATCACCAGCTTATCTTTTAACCATGCTCAGAAACAAGTTGCCAGCTCTTTAGCGTGGCGGCAGTACCCTCCGTGCTAACACCTGCCCATTTATCCATGAGTAGGTGTGACTCTTCTATTTTCCTAGTTACTCCTTTGAATCCCAAAATTTGGTAACATTCGGTACTGCCTGCGGCCATGCCATTCCACGCCTTGTCTGGAAGCCACTCCTACTGTTGTCTTTGGGATACTGTTACTCATCTTACAAGGCCTCAATCAAGAATCTTAGGATGTCGTTGGCGCCTACCTGCCCAGGGCAGAGACCACTAACCCCTTCTGAGAGCTGCCACAATGCTGCTTTCTAACATGTCTACGCTAGCTCCTCACAGTGTGCTGTGGTTGTTGGGTGGCAGCTCTGTTCCTCATAGTGAATGGCTGCCATCTGCAAGGGGTATGCACATGCCCTTCTTGTCCTTGGATCCTTAGCAATCAGCAGTATCTGCCTGCCTCTGGTAGAAACTCAGAGGCTTATTGAATGGACTTACATTGACATCTCATATTCTCCAACTTTCTGTTTGATCCTACTCTAAGGCTTTTTCCTCCTTTTTCTTGGCAGTGTTAGAAATGCTTGTTTCCTGATGTTGCAAAGAAGTAGCATTTGAACATAAATAGAATTTTCTTAGCAAGACCGTTTTTTTACTTTCTGCAGAAAGAGTACACTCGCCAGCAATTTTGCCACGAGAGGACACTGAACACAGGAGACAGGGTCATTTATAACCTGACGCGTCCACCCTGCTGCTGTGTCCATTTTCCATTGGCTGGAACGGGACCTCACATTCTGTGTTTGTCCCGATTGGCTAGTAACTTAGAACTTTTTAAAAGAGGCAAAGGCAGAGGAGAACAAAGGAGGGCGGAAGTAACTTGTGGAATGCTGAGAAAGGTAAAAACACCTCCAAATAAGGCAGAGGAACAGGCTATGACCTAATGCTTGCTTGGTCCAGTGTAAGTATGCCAGGGGAAATATTTAGGCTAAATTGTGGGAGCTAAGAACGTAAAGTACACTGATTTCTTTATTACGGCTGGCAGATATTTAAGAATGTTAGCACAGATCTTTGAATAAAGTTTGCTTCTAAGAGAAGTTACTACTTATTCCTAGTTAGATGGGGAGGAAAGTCTCTTTGAAGAGGAACCTCTACTTTAGTTTTTGCAGCAGCGTGCACCCCATCCTTTTTCTGACCCCGTGGAGGAACCTGGCCCAACCTGGACAATCTTAGCTGCCTATTCCCCCAGGATAGATTCGGGATAGGCATGGAAACCGGTCCAGGCCTGAGACTCTCTCTAGATTTTTAAAGTTTAAAACTGGAGTGAAAGCCTTGCCACCAGAGACGAAGGCTGGAGAGAGAGATGGGTGCTGTCTAACCTTGTGGAGAAGACTTTGCTGTGGGAACAGAGGAGTCCAAACCAAGACCAGACAAGCTGAGATCAGCAGGAAGGAAGAGGAAGGCACTGGCTTCGTTCTAGTCCTTGGGACTCAGGTCCCTGCCTTCCCCACCTCCACCCCCAACACCCAGCCTCCCAGAAACAGCCCCCGACAACTTCTGCTCTCGGTTGGTTCCTGCTGCAATTCTGTCCTTAAGACGAAAAAAAAGAAAATCCTAAATGATAGCATAAAACTCAGCCAACAACTTTCAGTGTTTACAATCTTCAAGGCATTGTTCCTTATTACTATTTTCTTTATACTTCCTCCAGATCATGTATTTAGTAAATCTCTCCTCCCCTGAGCCCCACTGCTCATAAAAGCTGAACCTAGGGTGTGGATCCAACAGCAGTCTTTTCAATGCAGGGTAATTTTCTATTCACCAAGTTGACCCCCTTGTCACAATCTGAAGCCTGAAAGTAAAATGTAAAAAGTATTTGAAACTGACTTGTAGGAAGCTGAGGGAGACATTAATATACATTAGACTTCTTAATATCTTCAAAATGTTTTAAGGGGGATTTTCTGTGTAATAAGCCCGAGGGATTATGTTTTTATTGTAAAGAAGAATTAGATGAATGAAAGCATTTACATGAATGCCTTGAACTTTAAACAACGTGTGTTCAGTAAGCTGAAGTCGTATCATAGTTGTATTTCTTAAAGAAAGTGATTCACACAGTATTTTGTAAGTGTTAATAGGAGGAATGGAAACACAAGAAAATCACTAGTAATAGGTACACTGAAGATGCACTTTATGGGATATCATTAAAATGCAATTATTCTGTCTCCCTGAGCCCTTAAATTTTCTCCAATGAGTTAATCCTTCCTGTAAATGGATGAAAATTTCAGCTAGCCCAGGACTTTCCACCCCCTCTCTTAGGGTCAGTAGTAGTCCTGTGTTCCCCCAAAAGTTGCAAACAGTCTAAATTAGAATAATCGATTCAAAATATCACAGAAAACTTCAAATACAATTCTACATTAAATTATTTCCTTTCCCAGCTCAAGTTGGAAGACTTTGGTGGGAAATGATGGGGAAAGTTTCTCTTCTCTCTCCCCTCTCTTCTTTCCGGGGTTTCTAATCTTTCCGGGGTTGGGGAGGGGAAGGGGAAGGAAAGGGAAGAAAGGACACAAAAGAGATAGGAGGGATTGTGACATACTGTCTTCAGCTGGCTTGAGGTCTCTGGTCTGGTGGAAGTTTCAGTCTGATTCATTCTCTGGGCTCCTGGATGGTACCCTGTCGGGCACTCAGATGGCGATCCCCCTGAGCTATGCATAGTGTGCTTCTGCAGACCCCTCCTGAACCTCCACAACTGCTTTTCTTTGTTCATCCACCCCGCTCTGACTCTACCCAGGCCACATTGCCCTCCAAGGGTGCCCTTTCAATGGCTCCAGGCTAGTTCTCTGCATGGCTAGAGGACCACAGAGTTCTGATTGCCTGGCTTAACTCCCAGCCTTGTCTATTTTTTATGTATAATTATCAATAGCAAACATGCTCATTTTCAAACACATCTCTCTTTGGACAATAAATGCCAAATGTCACAGTCAGCTCGGGACTTACCCATTTCTGGTGCACAGGACATGAAGCTTCGTTCCTCTAGTGCCTTCTGAGAGCCCAGGTCCCTTCTAGGATTAGAAGCACCTCCCAGTTCTTTATCCAACAGGAAACCAGTCCTTTCTGAGCCTCACACATTCTAAGCAGGACTCAGATCCCAGACCACAGTGCCCATGAGTTTCAAGATTGCCTTTAAACACAAAGATGTCTCTTCACCAAGCTCTGTCCAAAGAAATTTTTTCTTGCTCACTTCTCTTGACACTTCTCTGTTCTAGAAACAGGTGAGATCCTTTAAGCATTAAAGAACCACTTTTCAAAGGTTTTGTTTGAAAATCTGCCTTTTGATTTTGTACCTGATTTTGGAATTCTTGATGCTTTAAAAAAAACTTAGATGTTAATACCTTGCCTCACATGGCTTTGTAGCATGAAAGGATAATTAAAGCACCAGCATTAAAACTCAATCCTTAGCAAGGTGTTGTCCATGATCTCCTTAATCTTCACAACAAGGTCATCTAGGATTGTCTGCTGAGGTCAGCAGTGGAACCCAATGGAGTCAACCCTGCAGGCAAGAAGGAACACGTGTGGCTTCTCCAGTATGCCGGATTCATGATAAGGACTGGACAACTTCTTACCTATCTGTGTGTTGTTTTCTCTTTCATTAAAGTTTTGGTCTAACTCAGTGACTTTCAACACTTTGAGAGGCATAGTTATTACTTAAAAGGATTATATACACAAATACATGCATACTCTATAATTTACAGTTGATTTAAAGGAATTTCAAGAGGAATTTTGACCTCAAATAATTTTCCTCATATAAACTAAATGTGGAAATGAGATATGTATTTAACATATAATTACATTTTGCCAGATGTATGAAATCTTCTGTGAAAATATTCTAAAATAAATGAAATGCCATCCCTTCATTTGTACTAAAATGTATTTTAGTCTGATGAGAGTGAAGATTATACAGACTGCTGATTCAAAGGACTATGATTTTTACAATTATAATTTTAAAAGCAAATATCTATCAAGCTATGATAATACATCAGTTTTCTAACTTATTTGTCTATATGAGCTCACTTTTTAATAACTAGTTTTTGCTTTATTCTACAGTTTGCAGACAACTCCAAACTCCACACTTGGGTTTTCTCTTCTGCCTTTGTTATTCTTTAAATATCTACATTAACAGAGGCTATTTCTCCCCAAAGATACCATTTTTCCCAGTAGCACATGCAGGTGCACCCTTACCTGGCACACACAGGACCTCCTGGCCCTCCAGCACTGGTACCTGGGCTCTACCATTTGACTGCACCCATGTCTGTCTGTGCTGGGGCTCTGTCCTGGTCGTGTCACCCCTGAGGTGTCCTTAGGGCACAGGGATGCCAAAGAGCCCCATGTGATCTGTCAACTCTGAGTAAACTCGAGAGGCTCCTTGGGGTTCTGAGCTGAGGGCCAAGGCAGCCTATGTCTGAGCTTCATTACAAAGAAAAGTGTCAATCAATGGGCAATGGCCATTAGTAGTTTTTGGAAGGTGGATCTAGGGGGACAAACCCAGAAAGGGACGAAGCACATGGTCCATCCCTGCCTTAGATGGCTGCTTTTCTATCAGGCTGCACTGTCTCACCAGCCAGGTGGCCGAGAAGGCCGTTGGAGGACCACAAAGCTGCAAGCGGCTTTCCTGGGGCCTGCAGGGAATAGCTGGAGGACGCTTGGAAGGGCACCCACATTGGGTCTCACAGGAGTCTGCACCCTGCAGGTCACGCTGGCATTAGCCCCTCATCCTCAGCAGTTCATCTCATCCCGGCGAAGACAGCTGGCTGGCCTCAGAGGGTGAGACACAGCTTGAGGGTAAAAACGTTTTTACAAGACATGGACACAAAAGTGGCCTTGACTTCTGGATAAGCTTTGAAAACTTCCCATTTACATGAAAAGGTGTACTTTCTGTGTGCCACCAAGAAACCTAAATTGAGTAAAAGGACTGTTTCACTTTCATCAAGTTCCAGAATGAGGGTGCCCAGCTCTGAAAAGCACTGTCACAGGAGGAGATTCGAGGGTGCATGCAAAGCAATGTTTCTAGAAAATACCAAAGGAAACAGACATAACTCCAATGTGGACTCCCACTTCCCAAAGCTGCTGCTCCATCCCCAGGGCAGAGGCCACATCGTCCAGCTGGCTGCCGGAACCTCGTCATGCTCCTGGAGTGTGTGCAGCAGGTGCCAGCTGGAGTTCCACGCTCTGCCTGGAGGTTTTGGATGCTTTCTTCAGGATCCTCTCCATTTGTTCTGCGGATTCTTGAAGGCCACCTGGGCTGGGGACCACTTGTCCTGGCCACACTGCTTCTGCTCCTTAATCTTTTTGCTCATTCCATCACTTCCTTGAGTTTCACCTTGTCTTGGTCTTTCTTTCTCTTCTTCTGCTTGGTGATGCTGAGCTCTGTGATGCTTTTAAGCTTCTAGGGTCCTTTTTGGGTCTGCTCGTGGGCCACCATGACATCGGCCTGCAGTTCTATGGGTAGACTATGTATTAGCTCATTTAATCCTCCTAACAACATTATTGGGTAAGTACTATTATGCTCTCTATTTGTATAGGTGAGAAAACAGTACTACAGAAAGTGAGCACCTTGCCCAAAGTTATGCAGAAAGTGAAAAAACAAGAATTCTAACCCAGACAAGTAAGTTCTGTAAGCAAATGCAGCTAATACAGATACCAACCAGGTGTTCAAAGGGTTATAGTTACTTCTGGAAGTGAGATGAGGCTGCGTAATAGCTAAGAGGTGAACCCGGTTCTCCAGGGTAGAGACAAGAGGCAACAAGAGAAGGGATTCTGCAAAGAAACGAGCAATAGGTGGGGAACACGGAGATGGAGAGCAGCTACGAGTTTACCTAGGTTGAATTTGGAAAATCTGTGCATAGAAAGATGCAGGGCCCACTGGGCTCGGTGGCTCACACCTGTAATCCCAGCACTTTGGGAGGCGGAGGCAGGCGGATCACATGAGCGCAGGAGTTTGAGACCAGCCTGGGCAACATGGTGAGAACCCATATCTACAAAAGCTACAAAAATTAGCTGGGCATGGTGGCATGCACCTGTGGTCCCAGTTACTTGGGAGGCTGAGGTGGAAGAATTGCTTGAACCCAGGAGGTGGAGGTTGCAGAGGGCCATGATCATGCCACCGTACTGTAGCCTGAGCAACAGAGTGAGACCCTGTCTCAAGAGAAAGAGAGAAAGAAAGAAAGAAAGAAAGGAAGGAAGGAAGGAAGGAAGGAAGGAGGGAAGGAAGGAAGGAAGGAGAAAGAAGGAAAAAAGGAAGGAAGGAAAGAAAGAAAGAAAGAGAAAGAAGAGAGAAAGAAGAAACAAAGAAAGAAAAGAAGGAAAGAAAGAAGGAAAGAAAGGTGGAAGGGAGGGAGGGAAGGAAGGAAGGAGAAAGAAGGGAAAAAGGAAAGAAAGAAAGAGAGACAGGAAGAAAGAAAGAAAGAGAAAGGAAGGAAGGAAGGGAGGGAGGGAGGGAGGAAGGAAGGAGGGAGGGAAGGAAGGAAGGAGAAAGAAGGGAAAAAGGAAAGAAAGAAAGAAAGAGAAAGGAAGGAAGGAAGGGAGGAAGGATCACGCAGCTCCTTTATTCCCCAGACATTCACTGAGCACTTAGTGTGTCATATGCAGGAGTTTAGGTTGAGGGTCCTGGGCAATGACACAGACAAGACAGAGTCTCCTCCTTCATTGAACTTGTGTGAGTGGGGCAGACAACAAACAAATCATCCAGATCATTTCAGATAGCGATGAGTGTTTGGAGAGCACTAAGCAGAATGATCTGAGGTTGCAACGGGCATTGCAATGCCTGCTGGGCTCCTTACCCCTCAGGACCTTTCCACCAGCTGCTCTCGAAGGCTGAAAAACCTTTGCCCTGTTGCTGCAGGGCCAGATTCTTTTCATGCAGGATTCCTTTGGCTAAACTGTCACCTTGTCAAAGAGGTCTGATGCCGACTAAAAGTTCTCTGTTACTGGATGTGCAGAGAGAAACCCACTGTGGCTGTAGGGATGGACGAAGGAGAAGAGCACGAAGTGGACACCAGAAGCAGGAGCTGTCACACAGGCCTGGCCCATCGTGGTGGAGAGTTTGGATTTCATTCTAAGCAAAATGGGAAGTCATGTTGCTTCTAAGCACAAGAACAACATGATTCATTTATGCTTTAAATTAACCACTTTGCCTGCCCAGTTTCTCAACTAGATAGTCAGATAGATATATAGATATATAGGTTGGTAGGTAGGCAGGCAGGTAGATAGATAGATAGACAGACAGATAGATGATATGTAGGTAGGTAGGTAAATAGAGAGATGAATAGGTAGGAAGGCAGATAGAAAGATGCATACACACATAGACAGGTATATAGGTAGGTAGATAGATAGATAGATGTATAGGTAGGTAGGTAGGTAGATAGATAGATAGATAGATAGATAGATAGATAGATAGACACAGACAGATAGATAGATAGATAGATAGATAGATAGATACATAGATAGATAGATAGATTTATGAATATAGATACCTATCTGTCTCTCTCTAGCTGGAGATAAAATAGACAAGTGGCTTGATGCATCAGTAGCATTGAAAGACACCTCGAATGTGGCCTTACTTCGAGGTGATGGAATTTCTTTTTAAGCTCAGCTTCTACTTTCCTTCTGAGGAAGTTCATACCAGGGAGCTGCTACAACAGATGCGACTTTAAACTCTAATATCTCAATAATGCAAACACACTGATCAACTCAGCAGGATTTAAGGTGAGATCTCTCCTCAAGAAGAATTATGAGAAACATTTTAAATTCTTTAGCCATCAATTTCACTGCCAGTCAAACCCCCTCCTCAGAGGTGGAAAAAATGTCCAGCAGGTAATTTTTGAAGTGGTAAAACTGCACTATTTCTATATTTACGAGCAAACCACATTTGAAAGCATGTTTTTTTTTTTTTTTTGGCTTCAAAATCCTTTTTTGGCTCTGTCCACCACTGAGGCCATAACAGGATTTATAAAGTGGAGAACCGAAAAACTTACATAGATGGACAAATACAGATTTAGATACAGATGTAAAATATATAAAGTAGATATATCTGTAGAACACACGAACACAAATATGAATGAAGGTATGAATATAGAAAAGGTATGAATGTAGATATAGAAGACAGACACAGGAGAGATAGGCAGGTAAATCAATTGATAGATGACAGATAGAAGATAGATAGATAGATAGATAGATAGATAGATAGATAGATAGATAGATGTGAATGCATAGAAGAGACATAAATGTAGATATAGAATGGATGTCATTTTTGTGCTTACGAGCCCAGCCATTCACCTGCCCCTTTATCTGCCCCCAAAAGAGCAATACTGGGGAGTATACAAATATTATAAATAAAGCAGATAAAAGTAGAAAGATGTTAAAGTCTCAGAGACAATCACCAACTGCTAAAAGATTCTCAATGGAAAAAAAAAATCTTAAAACAAAAAGCTGTGTTTTGCATTAAATTAACTGGTTTAATTAGCCTGAAAGATTTACAAACCTCACCCACCTGTCTTAGAAAGAATACTCCATAGAGATATTTGGTTACTACCTGGTTCCAACTCATTTTCCTGGGTCAGAAATTGATTTCTAATTTTAAGAATTGACTTCTCTATTGCAAGGTCCATGTCACATTAATTTATGCTGCAACTTGTAGAGATTTCTTCTCCGTGGCACGTCAGCCATTTGGACTCTTTTTTTCGGAGAGGAGCCTGCAAACCAAGAAAGAGATGCGTAAGTGTTCCTGGCATTTTACACCAATTATCTTGCAAACATTTTACTGTTTGTGTTCTGGGTGTGTTGTTATCTGCTTGGATAGTTTAAAAAGTATTAGTAGAAAGCATATGTATTTCTAACAAGGACCCAAATGTCAAGCCTTGAGGTAAATGTGTACAAAATTGTGTATTTTTAAGGCACTATCATACTTATTAAGTATAGATCTGTGGCTTGCTGGAAAAAAAAGTTCATAGATATCCAGTTCTCTGAATTGTCCTCATAGGAATGTCCACTGGATGAGTACAGAATGTTCTAAAGTATAGAAATTAGACGACAAAACTTGATAGAGAACCTCAGATTAAGAGAATACTCAAAAAATGCAAAGGAGAAGAAAGCGCTATTCGAAGTGATACGAGGCAGGCTTTAAAGGGAAATTTTTCCGGAAGAAAATCCATGCTGTGGAAGTCAGAGGGTGTAACTGAAGACGAAATAGTCATTTGGAGAAAATCAGGATTAGAGAATGCTATTATTTGTTTAGACAATATTTATCTATTTATTTTTTCTATAGATTTGATTGAATTAAGGAGATAAATATTGATTTTTTTACATGCATTCTGTCAGTGTAGACACTGACGCTTAAAGAGACAAGGTCTTGCTTAAAGTCACACAGATAGTAAGAGGCAGAGAAGAAATCTCACCTTGATTTGTTTGATCTCCATGCCTAGGTCTCATCCGCTGAGCAATACCTCCTCCCGATTCAGCACATCCCTGGTGCCGACTTTTTGCATGTGTTCACTTTGAGGATGCATTGTGGGCCTGCAAGAAATGTAAAGGTGTAGTGTCTGCTCTTCAGCATCTTACAGTCAGGTTTGGGGTCAAAAGCCCAGGAAGGTACAGACCCTGAAAACAGGTATCAAATAATGCCAAAGTGAGATTCCAAAGCAGGGTTTTTATGAACACACCATAGAATGTCTTAATATTCAGGGCTTTAGGAAATGAATCATATGCATAAACATCTTAGTCTAAAATAAACTCCTTTTCAGACCCAAGAATAAAGACTTTGCTATTTCTGTCAATAGAAATTAATCCATATCTGTCTGAGAATTCAGAAGCTGGTGAAGCATTGAATTTGCAATAATAGGGAGCTCTTATAAATCACCAACTGTCATTAATCACCACTAATTCTTTGCTATTTATATTTTTATTTCAAAGGGTGAATGCATTTTAAAGTAGTATAATGCGTTTTATTCTATATCTAGAATATGATTTTTATGCTTCCCTTAAGATATCTTTACTTTTCACATTAACTGTATAAAACTGATAGCTCATCAGATCTAGTAAATTATTTTATGTATAATTTTATACATAAAATGTATAATTATTTTATGTATTTTGTGTATAAAATGGTATCTAATAGGTGTTTCATCCATGTCTATTGAAGAAATTTATTCAACAAAGTTTTCTTGTTCACCCTCTATGTACTAGGCACTCTTATACATGTTGGAGATACGGCAAAAAATAAATAACAAAGTTCCTGAGAGTTGATAATATGGTGGAAGGGGCTATAAACAATGAATTATCAGGTTGTGATGACTGTGCCAATGTATATAAAACAAGGCAAGGACAATAGAGAGTGAGGGCAGTGCTTGCACTTGATTTGGTTTACACACGGAACGCCTGTCTCCCAGGTGATGTTTGCACACCTGAAGAACATGAGTGAGGAAGGCGTGGGTCATCTGGGGAAAGTAACTTTCTGCAGAGGGAATAGCAAGTGAAAAAGTCCTAAGGAAGGAGGATGCTTAGTGTGCTTGAGGAGCAGAAAAGAGGCCAGCAAAGGAAGAAAGAGGGAAGGAAGAATGAAGGAGACGCCGATTGCAACCTTGTACATTTGTATAGAATGCTATGGTCGGTTTGCTCCTGAAGCCTCTCTTCAGGAATGAGGAGGAGGAGTGATGGCACATCTGAAAAACCTTTCCTGCATCCCTTGGGATGTCTTTACCCCTTCTGGCTTTTGAATTATATCACTTAGGACACATTGATTGCAAGACATGGCACACCTAACAAACAGGTTAATGATAGTTATGGTTACTGGGTACTTAAGAGTAAATGCAAAGTCAGGTCAATGCAAGTTGCGTCCACAGATCTCTGGCGTCATCAGGAAACCAGACTTTCCTTTTCAGTCGGGGTATTTTGGGATCCTGGCTTTCTATTCATTCTTGTCTCTTCAGGGCCAAAGGTGGCTGCCGAAATTCCAGATATCATGTCCACACCTGAAAACTTCCAATCTATAGTGAGAGCAGCACAAAAATATTTTCGTTGTGCAGTTCTCTCTCTCTCTCTCTCTCTTTTTTTCTGGACATGGTCTCGCTCTCCTACCCAGGATGGAGTGTGCAATGATGCAAGCATAGCTCATGGCAACCTCAAACTCCAGGGCTCAAGCAATCTTCCTGCCTTAGTTTCCCAAGTAGCTGGGACCACAGGCATGCACCACCGTGCCCACTTAACTGTTTTGGTGTTTCTTCTGTAGAGACAGGGGCCTCACTATGTTGCCCAGGATGGTATCAAACTCCTGAGCTCAAGCGATCCTTCTGCCTCCGGCTCCCGAAGTGCTGGGGTTACAGACAGGAGCCACCATGACCAGTCATCTCTCTCTTTTTAAAGAGAGACAACTGTTTCCCAGAAGTAGCTGGCAGACCTTCTTTTATTCTTTTATTACTTTTTGGCAAGTCAGCCAAGAGAAAAATGGCAAATAAAATGGTATTCCACTGATCAGTTTATTGCAGTTATAATTTATTGCGTTAACCCATAATTCAGGCCCTTACATTGTGTCTAGTACTTTTCGAATCACTTTATATGTCATGTTATTTATTTCACACTATGGCACTATTAGGTAGGAGCTATTATTATCCCAATTTTGCAGGTGACAAAACTGAAACACAAAGAGTTTAAATAGCTTACTCATCACAGAAGAAAATAGATAAAACTCAGGACGTCTGTCTCCAGATGAGGGTGCCACAGAGGGTATCAACTCCCTTTAGGAACAGAGTTCAGTGATCAATGGGCTAGAAGCATCTACATTCATTTCATAGAGGCCACATTTCCAAGAAAAAGTAACATATAAGGCAATATGTTAGCCCAAATAATCAGTAGAAAAGGAGAAAACATTATTCTTTATAACATTAGCATTACAAGATATTAACATTGCAAAATACTTTGGAGAATTATTAGGCAGTACCTACTAAAGCTGAATATATGTACACCTGACAACCAACATTTCATCCTTACATATTTGCCAACATGAATGAGAACAAACGTTCACTAAAAGACACATTCTAAAGTTGGTTTATCATTTAGTTATAAGTCATTGCAAAATCAAATGCTTTGAAAACTGTAATTTTCTTGCTGAGAAAAAGAAATTAGGCAGTGGAATATTGAAAAACTTTTAAAAATAATGTATGTCTGTTTGTCATTGTATTCAGGTACCAAACTGTATGCAGTGTGCCTTCTAACGACCAATTTAATCTCCATGGGATATACTAAAAGTTGAAAGCAAAGCAAACACAAATCAAAATTTTAATTTATAATCTTTACCAATGGAAACTGTATATTTCACTGTCCATTATGTTGCCCTATTCAGTGGAAGATACTCAAATCGGATTACTTCACTGTTAGAGTAAGATTAATTAGTACAGTGAATTTATCCACACTTAGCAGTGTTACTTTTCAGAAATCTTTCACTTTTTGTTGCAGCTGTTTGAGGCTTTATTAAATTCAAATTCGAGCTGTTAAATCAAGGCTCTCAGACTCCTGCTGCCTGGCCAGTGGAGAAGTCAAGTTTCACATATGGCTTTGGGGTTTCTCTCTGTCATCCTGGTCAACGTGTTCTCTCATTTATCTGAAGTCTGGAACCTCAACACAGACATCTGGGTGAAGGCCTTGACAGCAGGGCTGGTGCAAAATGAATTGTCATATCACACCCAACGTTCTCAACCTTTAGAAACTGTAAGTAAGAAAAACACCTCAAACGCAAGTATTGCATTTCTACATTCTCTTCTCAGATTTCAAGTGAAGTGTCTTTTTATATGCTGTGTAGTTAGTTGATCATTTCTCAGCTGCTTTAACCATTAATATTTAAAATTTCATCTCACCCATGTGAGTAGAAGTTCAAGGCAGAATCACATTTTTACACTTTGATATTCTTATACAGAGATATGAGGGATAGAAAATTGTGTACCCACAAACAGGTCTCTGAATCCTTTCTGATACCCTGACCTCTTTTGTTACCTGAATTGGGGAAACCTATTATGCCTTCTTATCAAATGTTGAATAATTACTCTCAACACAGGGTCAGCAAAACTGTGATTTCTTTCAGTCTGAGGAGCTTGTACATTGGCTTAGGAAAAGTCCATCAGGGAAATGGGGACACATAGCCTAGACCACATTTACATTAGAAATCCAGTTGGCTTTTTGTAAGCAAACATGAAGTAATCTAAAAATGGACACACCCAAAGTAATAGACTATCTCTCTTGACTCCTGACCCCGTAAAAATAGGTCTTTATGCGTATCTTTGTTTTTAGAAAACATTAAAGATTGAATAATTTAAGGCACTATGCTTGGTGCTGAAGAAGGTCTAAGGAGGTCTACACCACAGAGGCTGCACCCACTCCTCAGCCTTCCTGAGCCACATCATTGTCATCTCTACAGCATCCACCTCTCTTGGCTCTTGTAAGGATTGAGACATGCCACCAGGCTTCCTGTAAGCACTGAACAACTGTGAGGCTTTGATGGTGTCCCATTGCCATACTAAGGGGCAAGTTTTCTGGACTTGCCTAGACCTTATAGCGAATAAGTACTTTTACTTCACTGAACAAAGTTTAGAGATGCTTTTACATCATTGAACAAAGTTTAGAGATTTGGAGATTATTCGTTTTTAATTTCTATGGATCTGCTTATACTTCTCTTTTGCAAATTGAAACATCATGGAAGATTTTTTGGAACTTAGGTTGAGAGTTGTACATGGCTTCAAAGTTGCTGTGGAATTCTATTTCCATGGGGCTGTCTGTCTATAGAACGGTCATGCACTTCCCAGAGCCTGCTTCAGTACCTGCTGTACTATGGCCAGTCTGCCAATATTGTTGACCAACAGATGGCTTTTGATGGCAGATAAACTTCTATTTAGCAAGTGTTCCTTTTGCCCTTAAACTTTTCCACCTGTTGTTTGCACCAGCAACTCCCATGGCAAATGTGAAAAAGCAAAGAATAAGGAATATTACAAGATGGGACTAACATCAAAATGTGCGTTTTCATCAAACATGATCAAGAACCTACTGATAATTGAAGGTATCTAAAACCAAAGGAGTCCCTTAGATAAGATGTTGCAAATCATTCCAAAGGGGTGGTGGGAAGGGGACATGGGATTTGAGGGGAGGTACAAAAGAGAACTTGTCTATAAACTTATTTAATCCTTCATAAAAATGTACACTTTAGATATTATTATTAGTATTCTACAGATAAGGGACCAACCTTCAGGAGTTTATGTATGTTGCCCAAGGTCATGTTGCTAGTTAGGAGGTAATCTCAGGGCAGGGACTCTGCCTTGTCGTTGCTGAAGCCTTAGTTCTGAGAAGAGCCTGGACTACAGTTCAGTGTTTCATATTTTTTAAGTAATTAATAATAAATATATTAGGTAGGGAAGTGGACCCTTTAAAACAGGTTTTCTCCAATGTATTAGTCTGTTCTCACACTGCTATGAAGAACTCCCTGAGACTGAGTAATTTATAAAGAAAAGAGGTTTAATTGACTCACAGTTCTGCATGGCTAGGGAGGCCTCAGGAAACTTACAATTATGGCATAAGGCACCTATTTATAGGGTGTCAGGAGAGAGAATGAGTGCAAGCAGAGGAAATGCCAGATGCTTATAAAACTATCAGATCTCATGAGACTCACTCACTGTCATGAGAACAGCATGGGGAAAGCACTCCAATTATCCAATTATCTCCACCTGGTCCCACCATTGACAAGTGGGGATTATCACAATTCAAGGTGAGATTTAGGTGGGGACACAGAGCCAAATCATATCATCCACCTTGATATGATTGACATTTTGCATCAGATGATTCATCATCCTAGGAGGCCATCCTGTACACTGCAGAATGATTGACAGCATCTCGACCTCTACTCACTAGACTCCAGTAGCATCCTGTCCAGTTATAGCAACTAAAGATGTTTCCACACATTTTCAAATGTCCCTGCTGCGGTAGGAGGAGGCAAAATTAGTGCTTGAGAATCACTGCATTAATTCAGGAGATTCTTTAAAATGTTCACTGCGATGTTACACAGACTTCTCAGAGCCAGTATCTCATGGCCTGAGTGTTGACTTTCACAGTGAAACCTGCTTTAAAACACTGGACAAAGCCTAGCGTGTAGAGGGCAGAGTGGCTGGGTGTGGCTCTGTGATGCATTCCAAGGTAACCAAGTGGGCCTCAGCAGGGATATGTCTAGATTAGAGCTGCTGTTGAATTTTACCATCTTATGAGGTATTTCGTGAGGGAACTCACAGTGTGTCCAATCCCACAAACATGCCAGAGAAAGGCTGTATTCATTCAGGTTGATTATAATGAATAACAATTTATTTTGGAATACCAAGTAAATGAGTGTATGTGTTGTTGCTGGTTTTTTTTTTTTTTAAGACCAACTTTTGAATAAAAATATGTGGTCCCTGAAGAATTATTCCTGATTTCATTTTTATCCAGTGTTGCAAACCGGGTTTCATATGTGACTCTTTTGTAAGGAGTTTCAGTACATCCCTTCTGCAACCCATGCATATCTTGTTTACCCCCAAGCTTCTAAGGTCAATATAGGATCCTACTTTTTTCAAGTGCTATTGATTAGTTGCCTGTTTAGACTTTTGCTACATGAATTATAATTTTTAAAATGATAATCAAAATATAATATTGAACACAATTTAGGGCATTATGTCATTAATATTTACTAAGACAATGTTTGCATTTCATAATCCATAATGCATATTGATTTTAGTATCACATTTACAGTTTGATTCTGACTAATTAGCACAGATTTATAAAAGAAACTTTATGGGATGCTGAGACATGAATAAAAACAACTCTATTCCTTTGGGAAGGACAGCCCACATGCTAAGAAGATGATACTGCACATTGTTACAGCCCGAAGGACCCTCTTTCCACAGGGGAGTGGTGAAGAGTAGAGGTTGCCCATGTGGATTCCCAGGTCAGATAGATATGGATTCAGATCCAAGATCTGCTGCTTGCTACCCAGGAGACCATGGACTGTAGACTCTTTAGGTCTCAGGGTTTTTGTTTGTTGTCTGCTTTTCATTTCCAAAACCAGAAAATGGTAGGATATTTTCCATAAGATGGCGGTGGTGAGTAAATGTAATTATACGTCTAAAGCTTTGAGCATGAAAGCTTGGCACACATTTAAGTAAGTGCTTGATAAACGTTAATTCTTACAAATATCAGTATCATTTAGATTTAGATTGCTGAGTTAGTTGGAAATCATCATGTGAGGAATCTCTGTTCTCAAAAGAGGTTATTATCATTAGAATGCGAGCTGTTTTCAAAACAGCTAATTGACCATTTTATTCAGAAGCACCATCTGCTACTCATTAGGGTCTAGGTTGTTGTCAGCTCAGGGGTGCCCATGTATGAGTCGATAACCCTATTTCAGTCTTGGTTGTTGAATCCTCAGTGTCTGGGGTTGACTGACTATCAGGTATCTGCATCTCTGAAAGTAATTTTCAGTAGTGAGTTTTTAGTTAGGTTCTCTGGTTACAGTTCTGGATAATTAACACTAAAATGACACTTCTTAGAAGGCTTTGGCTCAGATAATTGAGATAAGTGAATGTTGAGCAAGATTCAGGAAGGGAAGAGCTGGGAGACTCCAATGTCTGGATTTCACGTGCCTTTTCTCCAAGCACATCCATTGTGTATCTTAGTCTCAATCCCCTAGATGTCTTCAATATAATCTTCAATTGTCAGGAGAAGAGAACTTGATGAACCTTGCTTGGACCAAATGCCTTCACCACTAGCTCAGTCAGCTATGGCGATAAGTCAAGGAGCTGGTAGTTTTACAGAAAAGACCCCTGGTCAAATCTTTGTGAATGAAGCAACCATTCTGATGTTCAACAACGGGGTAAGTGCTGGCCAATGATGCTATTTTCGTCCATCCTGTGGCTCCCATACATCAGTGATCTTATTAGATACCTGCGATTTAAACCCACTACATCAGAATTCCATAGGAATGAGTTGTTTTTAAAGTTCTTCAGAGTTAATTTGAATGCTCAGTCATTGTAAAGAACTATCTTCATCCTACAAAGACTAGTGTTTTTTCTTTCCTTATCTTGGAATTTTTTCCAATTGCAACCCTGAAAACTGTTTCCAATAATGTTAGAATTTGCTTAAAAGATTGTGAAAGACAATAATCTGGATTGTAATACTGGATCAAAGAGACCATACCAGGAGCCAACCATGCTAAATCTACAGAATTTGTAAAATGCCAAACTTTAAAATGCTGAATTACAGTATTAAGACAAGTTCCATAATGTGACAAGGTCTATGTGGTACTTATTATTTTACACACATTTTCCTACGCTTAGTATAACTGTCTGCTAATTAAACACAATTCTTTTAAATGAGCTGATGTGTGTTTTATGTGATGTAGCTTTATATCCTAAGCCAGAATAAAAATATTCTGAGAGTGACAGTCTTTCTTCATTATTTCATCTCTTGTCCTGCATAATTTTGTTTTT